GCATTAATCTTAGTCACTAATTCGCTGTCTTTCCCCGCTCTTGTCACTCTTGTCTGAGCAAATAGTATAAAATGAAACTCACTGCCATCGAGTTGGACCCGACTCATAGCGACCCCTCCTTGGGTTTCTGAGGCGGTATCACTACAGAAGTCCATTGCCCAACCTTCCTTCCGAGGAGTGGCTGGTGGGTTTGAACCACCGGCCTTAGTAAATAGTATACACACACACACACACACACACACACAGTCAAGTCGGACCTGACTCATAGTGACCCCTCCTTGTATAGCCAGCCTTTATTTCCAATGTTGAGCTCTTTAGATTTACTATTCCTTAAAGTATAACTCTTTCCCCTGTCAGTTGTAGTTAAGAGCCATAGACCGTCATAAGGCGACCCTGAGAAAGGAGACACTGAGCCCAGGGACAACCAAGATAATGGGAAAATGGAGACATTCCTGCAGAAGGAGAGGCCAGGAGATGCCCACTCTCATACCACCCCCCTTGCAGAATTAATTTCTTTAGACAGACGGTTTCTTTATCAGTGATCAGAAGAAAGGCCTAAAGACTACAAGACAAATGTAACTCATCTTGTAGTGGAAATTAGCATTCCTAATACCTATTCCACTCTCAGGAGCTCTGGTAGCATAGTGTTTAAGGCACTTGACTGCTAACCAGAAAGCTGGCCGTTCAAACCCACCAGCCACTCCTTGGAAGGAAGATTGGGCAATCTACCCCAAGGAGGGGTCGCTATGAGTCAGATCCGACTCGATGGCAGTGAGTTTGGTTTGGTTTGATTCCACTCTCAGCCCAATTCCCTTTAATAACCCTAACCATTCCCCAGCTCAGGGAGACAGACATTTTCGAGAAATGATTCTCACTGTCTCCTTGGGTATCAATACTCAACAAATCTTTTCCTTTCTCTTGTCAACCTGTTGTGATCATTGGCTCTTCATGACAGGGGGTAAGGACTTTGTTTCCCTACAACAGTAGAAATCCAGATTCAGAGTTTCAGATCTTGGTGCTGGGTGAAGGCCCCTCGACCTTAGGCTTCAGCTTTGCCTCTTACTCCTGGCCCATGGAAGCTGGAGACATCTCTTCACCCAGCAGCTGCTGGCTGCTGAGGCTAACGAAGCCATCGTCAGCAGGTATAATGGCACAATCCCAAGATCAGCAGGCAACATAGCCAATTAAAGTTCAAGAAGCTATCCCAAAGTCTGCAGGCAACATGGCAAGCCAAGACTCAGCCAGATGCAGCCTCCAGATATGCCAAAAGCTAGAGACATTTCTCAAAACTTCCCCTTACATACTGGAAGCAGGCCACACTCAAAGACAGTTGCTTAGTTGCTCACAGTGGATTCTACCTTGGAGGTGATTAAAGTCTCATCATGAGGAATAACTACATCCAGTTGCTCAGCCACTTAAAACCATGGCCCAGCCAAGTTGACACACAACTTTAACTACTACAACCAGTGAAAGCATTATCTTCCTTGGTTAATGAGTTTGCTTCCTCCTTTTTTACGAGACCTTGTTTACATGTTTCCCTTTTTGCTTTAGCTTCCAGGCAGCTCACAGGTAAAACTGAAGTTCAGTCTAACAGCAACTGTGTTAATCCTTACAAATAATCACATGTATACGATTTATCTTTTGGTCCTATTTTTTCAGTTTCTGTTATTAGCTTTAGTGTTGCATGTGGCCTCAGATCTACTTTATAAAAAGGTGAGGTACTAATGAAAATTAGGTTTCCAAGATACTATCTATTCCTTTTCCATTTCAAACTTGGGGGCTACTTGGCAAACTATAGAGCACACTCCTATCTTCACTCCCTGCACCCTACCTTGGACTGAAATGGATTGACAAATTTGGGAGGAATTAGGCATTTACTTGATGTGATTTGAGGGCCTGACACTGTCTGAAATTTTTATTATTAGAGTTTCTCCTTTGAATTAAAGCACTGAAATCTGCTAAAATCCAAAGCCATGCAAACTTTTCCTAGTGGAATTGAGGGCAGGACGGAGAGATTATCAGAGAAGACTCCAGAAGGGCCTTAGTAGTCTATTAAGAACTCATGCTGCTTCTGAGAAGCAGGGGCAGGGGTTGGGAAAACACACTCTCAGTCTGACATGTTAATTTTTGATAATATATGAGGGCCAAAAATAGGGTGGGTGTGCACCAAAGGCTAATTGGGGCAACAGCTTTGATGGGAGTGGTTATGGAAATAAAACTATACTAACCATATCAGGCTATGTTTAAGCTCATTCATTATTCCTATGCAAGGGCCAGAGGGCATATTTTAATTTCTTCATTTACGTTAACTTTCAGAATTCAGGTATTTTCATTTAAGATATTTATGTTAATTATGTTTCCATAACCGGTTCTTTTATTAATATCATTTTTTAAAAATTTAATTCAAAACTAGTAAGGTACAAGGGTATACCACTGTCCTCCAGTCTTCTAGCTCCTCTCCCAGGAGGCAGCCAGGGTTTTTAGTTTCTCTTGTGTCCTTCAAAGGATATTCTGTTTCTTGCATGAATGACTCTTAAAATGACCAAATGTGACATACAGTGTGCATTTTCTCTGTGCCTCAAAATTCAACAAACTGGAAAATCATAACTTAATCTTCACTTTTGAATATTAAAGATTCTAAAATTAATGTAGTAGAAAGAAAGACCCATTTTAGCTTCTCATTGCCGTATCGTCTCCCCAACTGAAAATGTCTCCTCCCTTTCTTCTTCCCAAATCACCCATCAGTTTATTTCCTTGGCATGAATGATGGTCTTCCAACCTCCAGACTGGAGGATGGAAATATTTTTGTTATTGTGTGATAATCCCAGATTGGAAATCAAATGTTGTCTCACCATCATGTCTTTGCTCAATGCCAAAAACAGATGGCAGCAAATCCACATATGATCTAATCTTTTGATTTACACTGACCAGTTGCAATTTATTATTTCTCTCCTAATTAGAAGAATTTTAATGTGTTTAGCTTCACAAAATTTAATTTATTAAAATGTTTCTACAGAATGAACAAAAAGAAGTCATTAGTAAATTTCGCACTGGAAAAATAAATCTGCTTATCGCTACCACTGTGGCAGAAGAGGGTCTGGATATAAAAGAATGCAATATCATTATCCGCTATGGTCTCGTCACTAACGAAATAGCCATGGTTCAGGTACATTCTGATACTTCTGCTGATTTTGACTTTTCTTATTTTAACTGCTTTCTTTTAAGGGCTTCAAACTGGTTCTTCCTAGTTCAGTCATGGCCATCAAAGCCAAGCCAGAATGGAATGGAATTTATGGGTGTGGACAATGAATATGAACAATAACCGGAATGGGAAAAATTATGGGTGGACGCGCTGCTAGAAACTTAATCTTCCTCCTGGAATACAAGGGCAAATTGGGTGTTGCATAGCATCCAAATCTCTTCATCGGCAGAGTTATAAACAGTGGTGCCTGGCTTGAAGATGGGGGCCAGCCACATCACTCTGAGTGTGTCGCTCTCCACAGTCCTTACAATAATCCAGTGTCTGTCATCAGGCTCCTGAAAAGGCTCACTGTGACTCTCCCAAGTTTCCCATTCCAGTACTTCAACCAGTATTTTATCTCATTCCAGTTATTGTTCTAGTATAGCTACATTTTACAAATTCAGATCTGTTCTGATTTCACTTTCTTAGGCTATGAATAAACCTGTTCAAACTGGTTCAAAGCCCTGTTTTAAGTCAAGGAGTGAAAAACAGTATCCTTTTAGTTTTAAATACATATATTCTTTCTTGCTAAAAGAGCAATTATGAAAATTTGTATACTACTGCTTTTTCTATGGTTGTTTAAGGAGCTTTGGTGGCGTAGTGCCTAAGGCATTTGACTGCTAATCAGAAGGCTGGTGGTTCAAACCCACCAGCCACTCCTCAGAAGGTTGGGCAATCTACTTATGTAGTGATACCACCTCAGAAACCCAAGGAAGGGGTCGCTATGAGTCAGATCCAGCTTGATGGCAGTGAGTTTGGTTGTGTTTTGGAAGTCATGTAACAATCAGGTTTTTAATGTTTTTTTTTCTTAAAAAAAAAGTTTCTTTTGTTGTTATTTCTGTGTCCTAAAACTTTTTAGAGACATGACATGGGTCCTATATGAAAAGGTGAAAAGAAGCCTCCTCATTTCTAGGGTGTTTCTGTGAGCCCCAGTTGTACTTGGAATCTGAGCCAACATGTCTCATGAATGTCTGATGAAGTAACATGCCTAAATATTAGGGAACCCTGCTAATTCTTTCTTTTTTAAAATCTTTTATTGTGTTTCAGGTGAAGGTTTATGTAGCAAATTAGATTCCGATTCAACAATTCATATACAAATTGTTGTGTTACAGTGGTTACAATCCCTCTGTGTGTCAACACTCACAATTTCTACCCTACCTGCACCATCCATTCAGCTTCCCTGCCCCTCCTTGCCATCTCATCTTTGCTTTTGGGTAAATGGTGGCTGTTTGATCTCCTACAGTTAATTATTCAAAAGTGCTCATTCCTTATGGGTGTTACTGTGTATTTTATAGGCCAGTCTGTTATTTGGCTGAAAGGAGACCTCCAGAAGTGGCTTCACTTCCAGGTTAGAAGGATGTCATGGGGCGATAGTCCCTGGAATTCTTCCAGTCTCTATGAGTCCAGTAAACCTGGTCTTTTTATGAATTTGAGTTTTCTTCTGCATTTGTCTCCCATTCCAACTGGGACTTTCTATTGTGTCCCTGGTCAGAGCAGCTAGTCACAGTAGCCAGGGACCAACTGGTTCTTCTGTTTTTGGACTAGAAGAGGCTGTGGTTTGTGTAAGCCATTAATCCTGTGGACTAATTGCTTCCCTGAATCTTTGGTTTCTTTCACTCTCCTTTGCTCCAGATGGGAAGAGACCAAAAAATGTTTGCATCTTAGATGGCCACTCACAAGCTTTTAAGATCCCAGATGCTACTCACCAACTAGGGTTCTGAACATTATCTTTATGAACTAAATTATGCCACTTGATTGGTTATCCTATGAGACTGTGGTCCTGAGCCTTCAAACCCAGCAAATTAATCACATGAGGTGTTCGGGTATGTCCAGGGAGTATCCATAACTGTGCCCCCAGGCCCTTTATTGTATACATGAATATATAGGTAGCACATACAAACATGAATGCCCACAAATATGCCTTTATTTTTACATGCGTGTGCTCCCATGGGAGCTCTGGCGGCGTAGTGCGTAAGGCATTAGACTGCTAACCAGAAGGCTGGCGGTTCAAACCCACCAGCCACTCTGCAGAAGGAAGGTTGGGCAATCTACTTCCATAGTGATACCACCTCAGAAACCCAAGGAGGCATTGCTATGAGTTGGATTTGACTCAATGACAGTGAGTTTTGGTTTTTTCATTTAGTTACCTAGTTGGGAGCTCTGGTGGCATAGTGCCTAAGGCATTTGACTGCTAACTAGAAGGCTGGTGGATCAAATCCACCAGCCACTCCTTAGAAGGAAGACTGGACAATCTACTTCCATAGCGATACTCAAGGAGGGATTGCTATGATTTGGAATTGACTCAATGGCAGTGACTCTTCCCTGAGTTATCTAGCTTATCTTCTGTTATTTGTGCATTTTCAGTTAAATTTGATAGTGCATTCATGCCATAAATTAGGACCTCTAGCTTTGTCCTCATGTTATCTTCCAAGAACTTTATAGCTTTAGGTTTAACGTTTAGGTCTTTGATCGATTTTGAGCTAGTTTTTGTGTATGATGTGAGGTATGGATACTGTTTCATTTCTCTACATGTGGATATCTAGTTTTGCCAGCACCATTTGTTGACTATCTCTTCCCCTTAGAATGGATTTTGACCCTTTGTCAAAGATCAACTGTCCATAACAACAACAACAAGAAAAAAACAAACCCCCTGCCATGAAGTTGATTCCAACTCAGAGCAACCCCTGTTGGGTTTCCAAGGCAGTAAATCTTTGCGATAGTAGATTTCCTGATCTTCCTTCCACAGAGTGGCTGGTGGCTTTGAACCGCCAGCCTTCTGGTTAGCAGTGAAATGCCTTAGGTGGATGGATTTACTTCTGGCTTTGCAGTTCTGTGTATGTCATTGGACCAGGCTGTTTTGACTACTGTGATGGTGTAGTAGTTTCTGAGATAGGGAAATATGAAGCCTCCTATTTTCTTCTTCTTTAATAAAGTTTTACTTATCTGGAGTGTCTTTCCTTTCTATATGAAATAGGTAGTTAGTTTTTCCATTTCCACAAAAATGTAGTTGGGATTTGGATCAGAATTACATTAGATCCATACATCACTTTCCAGTCCAGAGCATGGTATATTTTTCCATTTATGTGGGTTTCTTTTGTTTTTTTGCGGTAGTATTTTGTAGTTTTCCTCGTGTAAGTCTTTTACATCCCTGCTTAGATTTATTGCTAGTTATTTTATCCTTTTGTGGGCTCTTACAAATGATATTATTTTCTTGATTTCCTTTTAGGAGTTGTCCTTGTTAGTGTACAGGAATCCAACAAATTTTAGTATGTTGATCTTGTACCCTGCCAGTTTGCTGAACCATTCTATTAATTCTAATAACTTTCTTGGGGGAATCTCTGGGATTTTCTGTTGTATAGCATGCAAATACAGCCAAAACCAGGCCAGGAGCTGATTGTGGAACAGACCATCAACTTCTCATATGCAAATTCAACTTGAAGTTAAGCACAATGAAAACAAGTCCAAGAGAGCCAAAGTATGATCTTGAATATATCCCTCCTGAATTTAGAGATCATCTAAAGAATAGATTTGATGCATTGA